ATTTTATTTACTTATTCATGAGAGACACACACAAACACACACACACACAGAGGCAGAGATATAGGCAGGGGGAGAAGCAGGCTCCTTGCAGGGAGCCTGAGCAGGCCTCGATCCTGGAAACCCAGGATCAAGCTCTGAGCCAAAGGCAGGCGCTCAAATACTGAGCCACCCCGGTGTCCCCAGATAAATTAGATTTTAAACCAAAGACTGTAGAAAGAGATGAAGAGGGATACTGTATCATACCTAAAAGGTCTATCCAACAAGAAGACCTAAAAATTATGAATATTTATGGCCCTAACGTGGGAGTAACCAATTATATAAACCAATTAATAACAAAGTAAAGAAACACATAGATAATAATACATTAATAGTAGGAGACTTCAACATTCCGCATCCCACTCTTAGCAAAGGACAGATCATCCAAGCAGAAGATCAACAAAGAAACAAAGAGATAAGGGCTTTGACTGGACCAAAGGAACTTCATAGATCTATACAGAACATTCCATCCTTTTTTTTTTAAAGATTTTATTTATTTATTCATGATAGTTACACACACACACAGAGAGAGAGAGAGAGGCAGAGACACAGGCAGAGGGAGAAGCAGGCTCCATGCAAGGAGCCCGACATGGGATTCGATCCAGGGTCTCCAGGATCGCGCCCCGGACCAAAGGCAGGCGCCAAACCGCTGCGCCACCCAGGGATCCCCAGAACATTCCATCCTAATGCAACAGAATACACATTCTTCTTAACTGCACATGGACCCTTCTCCAGAATAGACCACATGCTGGGTAACAAATCAGGTCTCAACCGATACCAAAAGATTGTGATTATTCCCTGTGTGCTTTCAGACCACAATGCTTTGAAACTAGAACGCAATCACAGGGAGAAATTTGGAAGGAACTCAGACATTTGGAGGTTAAAGAGCATCCTACTAAAAAAATGAATGGTTCAACCAGGAAATTAGAGAAAAATTTAAGATTCATGCAAACTAGTGAAAATGAAAGCACAACTGTTCAAAATCTTTTGGATGCAGCAAAGGCAGTCCTAAGAGGGAAGTACAATTCAATACAAGCCTCCTTCAAAAAATTAGAAAAATCTCAAATATGCAAGCTAACCTTACACCTAAAGGAACTGGAGAAAGAATAGCAAATAAATCCTAAATCAAACAGGAGAGAAGAAATAAAGATTAGAGCAGAACTCAATGAAATAGAGACCAGAAGAATAATAGAACAGATCAACAAAACTAGGAGCTGGTTCTTTGAAAGAATCAGTAAGATAGATAAACCCCTAGCCAGACTTATTAAAACTAAAAGAGAAAAGACTCAAATTAATAAAGTCATGAATGAAAGAGGAGAAATCATAACCAACACCAAGGGAAGACAAACTATTTTGAGAACATGTTACGAGCAACTATTTGCCAAATTAGGCAATCTAGAAGAAATGGATGCATTCCTGGAAACCCATAAATTACCAAAACTGAAACAGAAAGAAATAGAAACCTGAACAGACCAATAGCCATCAAAAACCTCCTAAGAAGCAAGAATCCAGGTCAGATGGCTTCCTACTCTCCTGAAGCTGTTTCAAAAAATAGAATGGAAAGAAAAACTTCTAAACTCACTGTTTGAGGCCAGCATTACCCCGATTCCAAAACCAAAGACCCCATCAAAAAGGAGAATTACAGACCAATATCCCTGATGAACATGGATGTCAAAATACTGACCAATATACTAGCCAATAGGATCCAAGAATACATTAAAAGGATTATTCACCATGACCAAGTGCGATTTATTCCTGGGATGCAAGGGTGGTACAACATTGGTAAATCAATCAAAGTGATAGATCACATTAATAAAAGAAAAGACAGGAACCATATGTTCTTCTCAATTATAAGTTTACGTGTAACACTAGTAAGGGTGCTTACAGCCAACTTTTGCATTGCAAAACAACAACAATATGTTCTAGAACAGTTGGAGGGAAATTTATTTCTACCTAAACAACAAAGCTGTGTTTCATGGTGAAATTTTTTACATTGCTCCAGTTTTTAAATTTAAGTGAAAAGTAATTATAATGAAATAAAAATTTCAACTTCCTTTTTTCAGGTGTACCAGCCACATTTCAAGTGTTCAAGAGCCACACGTGGCTAGTGGCTACCATTGAATATTGCAACTTCTAGAAAATACTCAATTATTTGGAAATAGTTCTAAATAATCCAGGAATGAAAAAAGACATCACAAAGAATATAGAGAATATTTCAAACTGAATGATAGTGAAAAGAGAATATACAAAAATTTGTGAGACATAGATACACATGTGTAGAGGAAAATGCCTTTTTTTAAAAAAATGTATTTATTTATTTTAGAGAGGAGGGGGGAGGGGCAGAGGAAGAGGAAAAGAGATACTCTCAAGCAGACTCCCCACCAAGTGTGGAGCCTGACAACCCCCAGACCAAAAACCCAGTGGAAATTAAGAGTTGATGCTCAATCGACTGAGCCACCCAGGCACCCAGAGAGGAAAAATTCACATCTTTCTATCCTTATGTTAGAAAAGAAGAATTAGGGTAGCCTTGGTGGCTCAGTGGTTTAACGCTGCCTTCAGCCGGGGGCATGATCCTGGAGACCTGGGATCGAGTCCCACATCGGGCTCCCTGCATGGAGCCTACTTCTCCCTCTGGCCTGTGTCTCTGTGTCTCTCATGAATAAATAAATAAAATCTTTTAAAGAAAGAAAAGAAAAATTTTAAATAATTTATAGGATATTGTAGATAATACGTCGACTCAGGACATGACTATCTCCTGAAGCATATTGAGTTTGTTTTCCCAGGGACTTAAATTACTGGCAGATTGCTTTGACTTTGGGAAGGCTTGGTTTAAACATCACTAGCAAGGGATTACTTAGGTCTTGTTCCTATTTTAGTGCAAATCTCTTTGTTCTGGTATGGTTTTTACTTATAAAATATGACCTTTTCACAGTATTTCAGTGGAATGTTTGATGAACTAGAATCTCAGATTCCATCTTTGCTGCCACGGGCAACTGCTGACATCTGTGACCAACTCTTTCAGGCTTCCAGAAAAAATTTCCCCTGGACTCTCTGGGGATTACAGTTCCCTATAGTGTCTGCCTGCATTTGGTCACTTCCCAGTACCTTCAAACAATTGTTGTAAAATTATTATTATTTTGTATTTTCTACATAGTTTATAAAGTGTTATTACAGGAGCACTGGGACTTGGAAACCTCCCCTGAGACTTGAAAGAGCTGCTCTGACCCACCGGGTAGAAAACAACCTTGTATGCACTGAGCTCTTCTAGTTGCCCAAATCCCTATCGTTGATGCTTTGCTCCAGTGGAGAGATGTTTCAAGAAGGCACAAATTCTAAAGGTGGCTATTTTCATAGCCTTAGCCAAGATGACCCTCCATCCTCAGCCCACCCCCATCTCCATCCACATCACTGTTTTCTTATAGGTACATAGATGTAGAGTTTCCAGAACATACCCACACAAGCCTTCCCCATTCTCTGAGGCTGAGAAAGTGATGACAGGGGAGCAGCATCTATCCCTCCTCCTGGAATGTTATAGGAGTTTTCTCCCTAACTTTTAATCATAAAGGAGAAAAAAACCCCACCATATTTGATACAGTTTAAACCAATTCCTTTAGGCTTCTGAATGAATGACATGGTTTCAGTGACTTGCCATTTAGAGTCACTGACTGTCTTTGGACAATTCTTGTATTTTCTGTTATGAAATTTAACCAAGCTAACAGTTAAAACAAGATCCCTTAAATTAAAGAGATTAATCTTCTAATGGAAATGCAAATGATATTAGCTTTTATTCAATAGCTCTGAAGTTGCAAGTCTATCCACTTAGAAGTAGGATGGCCTTGATCTATTTACCCTTTAGGTGTCTACCAATCCTTCTAAACTTAATGGAAGACAATTCCACCTGGAATGCCCATAGGTTCTTTTCTGAAAAGTAAACAAGTTATTTTAACTCTCACGTGGAAGAATAGATGCCTGAGAATAACAAAGGAAATAGAAATCCGTTGAGGAGGAAGTCGGGGGTCCCATATTACACTCAAAGCCGCTGTAATCAAATCAATATTTTATTTATAACAACGGAAAAAGGTAGAAAACAAAAACAGAATTGAAAATCCTGACACAGATCTTAGGGAGTATGAAAATTTACTACATGATAAAGCTGATTCAGCTCAGTGGGAAATGGGCATATTTGGTACATGGCTCTGGCACAATGACTATCTTAGTATGCACTCAAGGTAAGGTTCTGTGGAGTTTTGAGACACTTTTCTGAATCTTCTAGCAGAAGAAATGCTCCATCTTTGGTAGGAGTCCATTGAGTCTGGGGGAGATGGGTGTCACGGGGTCTACACCTGGAGACTCTAGTCCATGGGCATGTGATTGTAGAGAATCTCCAACCAGAGGGCAAGTGTCCTGACAGACCCCGAGCTGTGTCCTCTGCTGTCTGGTTGTCCTCCAGCACTGTCTCCCTGACCTCTACTTCCCACCCCTCCCAGAAGGCAGCTCGAAACAATCTGTCACACAGCTCCAAGAAAGGAAAAGAAGAGCATAGTGGGAGGCATTTTGCCCCTGGCTGCTCCCATTCTGTTTCCATCAGAAGGTCAGACTCCCCAGAAGAACCTAGAACCTCAAAGAGGCTGAGGTGTACCTAAGGTGCATCCATTTCCCTACACAGTCAGATGGCCAGAGCCAGACCGCCCCCCTGGCCTCTTCTGAATGCCAGGTGGCTTCTTAGGGACCCCGTCCGTTGGAGCAGCCCTCCAGAGAGACACCTCCGTGTTGAGAGGTTTCCCCCTCAACCAGGCAGGCCGCTCCCTCACAGCTTCGTTTGGGGGCTCCCGATGTGCGAGCGGGGACCTCTGGGACGCACCTGCCCCTGACCGCCTCGGACACCTCCCCAGGAGCCTCGGATGGTCAGGGAGTCCCCCCCCCACCCCCCACCCCGCCGCCGCGGGGAGAGAGCGCAAGTGACCGGCAGGCAGCCGGCCCCGGGGGCTGCGGTCCCGCCTCCGCTTAAACGGGCGCCCTCTCCAGCAGGCGTCTGTGCGCCTCCTGGGATTCCTTCTGGAGCCGGCACAGTCCCTCCAGCAGCCGGGCCCGGCCGGGCGCGCCCTCGGGGCCCGGCCCCGCGCCGATCGACCTCGCCGCCGGGCCCGCGGGCAGGCCGCGCTGCTGGGAGTAGCGGTAGGCCGGGTTGCTGTAGGGGCGGCCGTCGTTCTCCCACAGCACGCAGTCCACCGCCGCCAGGAGCTCCCGCAGCTGCGCCTCCCGCTCGGCGCCCGCCGCCGCGTTGTCGAAGGCGCAGTGGCGCCGCGCGCACACCGCGTCCAGCCGGGCCAGGTGCGGGTTGTCCGTGCGGCGCACGTACTCCTCCAGCGAGCCGCCGCCCAGGTCCTCCTTGCGCGTGAACACCAGCACCGTGTGCGCCAGGACGCCCACCCCGAAGGCCTCCTGCAGGCCCCGCACCGCCCGCCGGTCCTCCTCCGTGAAGCGGCCCAGCTGCGTCACCAGCAGCACCGCGTGCGGCCCGGGCGCCGAGAAGGCCACCGCCTCGCAGATGGCCCGCGCCGCCGCCTCGGGCCCGGCCTGCGGGGACAGGAGGTCGGGCGTGTCGATCACCTCGAGCTCCCGCCCGGCCCAGGCGCCGCTGCCCCGCTGGAGGTCCCGGGTCACCGGCTGAGGGCTGAGTCGGGACGGGAACTCTCTCCTGCCCAGGATGCTGTTCCCTGTAGCGCTCTTCCCGCTGCCGCTTTTCCCCACCAGGAGCAGTCGCAGTTTCTGCGGGGTCCGTGGGGCCTCCCACAGGCCTGGAAGCAGGGGGACAAAGCAGAGGGAGCGGGGGTGAGAGCCGTGCCTGGCCTGGGGTCCACCGGCAGCGCGGAGACCTGCGTCTCGCCCTGGACTGTGACCTGCGGGGCTCCCCTTCTGCCTTGCTTTTGTTCAGCTTATTATTATTATCAGGGTATATATATATATATAGCATAAAAAATATAGTATGACATCAAACTTATCACTGTCCTCAGTTTTAGGCGCGCAGTTCAGTGGTGCCCAGGACATTCACGCCGTTGTGCAATCATCTCCATGGTGCCTCTCAAGAATGTTTTCATCATCCCAAATTGTAATTATATTTGTTCTTCTGTGCCGGCCTTATTTCACTTAGCACAGTGGTTCCCAGGGCATGGATGTTGCAGCCCAGCGCAGAATTTCCCACCTTTTTAAGACTGAATAATACTCCATTGTAGGTATATGGCGCTTCTTGTTTATTCCGACACATATATGAACATTTGGGTTGTTTCCACCTTTTACCATTGTGAACAGTGCTGCCATGAACACGAGTGTACAAAGGCCTGAGTCCCTGCTCTCAATTCTTCCGGGTATCCACCCAGAAGGGAGATTGCTGGGCCCTGAGGTAGAATATCACATTTTTATGTTGAGGTTTCACAGCTCCTTGTCTCTTCTCACCCAGATGAGAATTAGCCCCGCACGATTCTGGGACCCTGAGCTGGGCTAAACATCCCCGATGGAAGATCCTTCTCAGGAAGAGCAGGAAGAAAAGAAAGTATGTGGCCTCTGTGTCTTCCCCCTGGGGTGACTGACCACATCACGTTCAGCTTTTCCACCAGGGGAGTGTTGGGAGTGCGGCACCACCTCAGCCAGACGCCAGGCTCGGAGCAGAGGCCTGCAAGGTCCCTGTTCTCAAGCAATGGCCTTACAGCGTGTGTTGGACCTTCCCACCCAGCAGAGTATCAGAGAGGGAGAGCACTCAGAGATGCCAACTTACTACCAAAACCCGGTGTGGAGCTTCCTAGGTACAGCTGGGTCTAAGGGACAGGAAGGGAGTCCCCTCCTGGCCTTCGGGTCCCCAGAGCCAGAGCACATGGAGAAGTGCCAAAGGACGTCTGGTTGGCTGGCTTCCGAGGCTGCTCCCCATTGGAGATGATGATGTGTCTCAGGGACAGAGCCCTAAGCCTCCCACAGGCAGGATCAGCGGCGTCTTCCTCTGATTCTCCCTCCCGAGCTAGGACATGTTTTTCTGCCCCCTCACACCTGTGGCTGGTGGACCCGGCAGCCAATTCTGATGCAGTGGCTCTGGCTCCCCCAGCATCCCCAGCTGGCTTGAAAGGAATTTGGGGGAATGGGCGGGAGTTTCAGGGAAGCATGGAGCGTGGAATGTTCCTCCCTGCCCTCCTCACTGATGCCAAGTTGGACAGAGACAGCAACTCCTGTCCACGTTACGGGACTTCATATATGTCACTTGAGCTCTGAGGAGGGTTTCTCAAGTAATATTTAACCTCGATTGCTGCAAGAAAAGGCAAATCAGATGTCATCACTTCTGCTGGCAGTTTTCTTATGTGGTTTATTGATAAGGCCACACTCTTCCAGTGGCTCAGGCCATTGAAGTTCATATAGTAAAAAACAAAACAAAACAAACCCATTTGTGTTAAAATATATAATGAATCACAAATCATTTCTGCTGGCCAAAAACATGAATGGATTTCCAGCAGTCCCAGATTCTGTGTCCCCAGGTTAGTGGCCACACTGAGCCCTCAGAAGCTCAGCTCCTGACCCCGATGGGATAACTTTTGGGGGGACAGAAGCCCTTGAGAAGGCCAAGTGCAGGCCTAGGATATCCTGCTTGTGCCCGTGGTGCTCTGCAGCCCATAGGACCCCAAGAGCTCTCCCATCGGATCCAAACACCTGTACGAGGTCTGGGCGAGTCATTTGGTCACACTGACCATCAGCACCTCCTTCCTGAGGACGAAATCCCAGAAGGCACAGGCCCTTTCCCTTGGGCCTGGCACAGAGATTTAGTCAAGGTGGTGGCTGGCACTCTCTCTCCCTTCGTCTGCCTGTCAGGGACCTTTCCCTCTTACTTGGCTGCATTAGAGGAGGGCCCCCACCCAAAGACCCTTTGATGGCGGCCCAGGTGGGCAAATCTCTGACCAGGATAAGCCCTGCCACCGGTCTCTGCACACCCATGTACACATCGAATGCCGCCATCCGCACCTCTCTCAAGTTCATTCCTGTTAGAAAGTGGTTTACCTCCTAAAATGCCTTGTCTAGGATCGAGATTCAGCTCTCCTGCAGGGTCCTCCTCCAGAATATGTTCGTATTCTTCTTCCTCCGGCTAGAGATAATCATAATGCGTCTTATTAGTTTCTCAGCAGAGTTCGGAGAGGCACCTGACCTTGCCTTTCTCTTGCCAGAAGCATTGGTTTGAGGGGGAGCAGCCTGAAAGAGGAGGGGGCCTGAGGGGTCTCTACTTCCTTTCTGTCTTCCTTTCCCCTCCTCTCTCCCCGCCCCCATACCACTGTGGTTTCTACTGTCCATTTAGGAGACTTCACGGAAAAAGGGTGACAGCCTTAGCGGCAGGCTGAGGAGCAGGTGGCATTTTATAGACGGGGACCTGGAACAACACGCTTTGCGAGGAGAGGGAGGAGCAGAGAGCAGAGGCAGGTCTGATACTGGGTCCTGAGAGCAGTGGAAAGATCTGGAGGGCACTGGCAGGAAGTTGCAGCCACAGGCTGGCTGGGCTGGGGGTGGGGGTGGGGGGACACGGGGGTCTTGGACCAAAAAGAGGGATCCATGCCTGACCTTTGGGAAAGGCTCAGCGGTGAGGGTTGCAGAGGGCAAGAGGTTCTGTGTGAGGACAACAGGGACAGAGTCCGGCTGGGAGCCAGGGGACCTCAGAGCTCATCTCCCATCACCGTCATTTAGGATGAGGACAGCCCCGAAAGGCTACTGTGGTCTGTGGGCCTGGCGATGACTTCGGTGCTGCCCGGGTCCCCGCAGCTGGCCGGTGGGAGGCCGCTGAGGCCATTCCTCGTGACCGTCAGCCGTGTGCAGCCCCGCCAGCTCCAAGGCCCCAGGCTCAGAGTGGACACCGCCAGTGAGTCTTGTGAGTTTCCAGGACAAGAGAGTGACCCGCCCAGGTGAACAGCTTCCCCCCAGACCCGGTCAGCAACATTCTGGTGAGGACACAGCATTGATCCTCTCCCAGGGGCTTCTGGAACAAGGCGGTTAGCGCTCCTATCTCTGCATCTGGAGACCCCCACCCTCTTTGCCCCTGGCTCCCTTACACCCTCGGTGGAAACTGAGGCAGCGCTTCACCAGGGAAATCTGGTGGCTCCTGTAGCGAGGCTTCCTGGAAGGTACGAGCAAGGCTGGTGGGCAAGGCGGGGGAGGCACCTGGGCAGAGAATCTGAACCGGGCACTGCAGCCGGGCACCCCGAGGGAGTGCGCACCCCGCCCCGCGCCGCCTCGCCCCACGGCTGGCCCTGAGCAGCACCTCACATGTTTGCCACACTTGGCAGTTTTTGCCTCCAGCATGAGCACGAGCAGCCTGTCATCTCATGTTTCCCAGGAAGGTCAGCTCGCAGAAGCGTCTTGCCCAGAATTGAGCAGTGACTTCGCGGCAGGGCACGTAGGGCACGGGTTCTCCTGACCTCCTAGTCACGGCTCTTTCTATTCCACTGTAGACCGCGTGCATGCACTACACCCACAGTACACACCCACAGACTCCCCAACACCCACAGACTCCCCAACGCCCACACTCACTAACACACGCCCCCACAGACTCCCCAACATCCACAGACTCCCCAACACCCACACTCACTAACACACGCCCCCACAGACTCCCCAACATCCACAGACTCCCCAACACCCACACTCACTAACACACACACCCACAGACTCCCCAACATCCACAGACTCCCCAACACCCACACTCACTAACACACGCCCCCAAAGACTCCCCAACATCCACAGACTCCCCAACACCCACACTCACTAACACACGCCCCCACAGACTCCCCAACATCCACAGACTCCCCAACACCCACACTCACTAACACACACACCCACAGACTCCCCAATATCCACAGACTCCCCAACACCCACACTCACTAATACACACACACACAGACTCACCAACATGCACAGACTCCCCAACACCCACCCTCACTAACACACACCCCACAGACTCCCAACACCCACATTCACTAACATACACACACCCATAGACTCACAAACACCCATAGTCACAACACCCACACTCACAACATACCACACCCACAGACTCACAACACCCATAGTCACAAACACCCACACTCACTAACATACACACACCCATAGACTCACAAACACCCATAGTCACAAACACCCACACTCATTAAGATACACACACCCACCAATTCACCAACATACATACACCCACAGACTCACCAGCACCCACACTCACATACACATACCCACAGAGTCACAAATACCCACACTCACTAACATACACACCCACAGACACACAGCCACAAAGACACTCACAAACATACACACACCCACACACTCACAAACACCCACACTCACACACACACTCACAGACTCATTAACACCCACTCACAAACATACACACACCCATAGACTCACACACACTCACAAACACCCACACTCACTAACATATATACCCATAGACTCACAAACACCCACACTCACATACACACACTCACAAACACACCCACAGGCTCACAAACACAACAAACACCCATAGACTCACCAACACCAACACTCACAAACATATACCTACACATTCACAAACATACACACATACACACAAACATGTCACACATACCACTTACACACATACACTCAAAACACACCACACACATACAAATACATAAACACACAAATATATGCACAAACAAACATAATGAACACACATACATTTGTACACACAAACATAACACACATGGAAACATAAATACACAACACACACATCCACACAAACACACAATACACATAAACACACCCATACACACAAACCCTTTACACACACTCCATCCATACACTCCCAAACACAACACATATTCACACAAACACAAAAACACAACACACATGGGAACATAGGTACATGACACACACACACAAACAACACACACAGACACACTTCCCCACACACTTGGACTTACCACGCTGTCAGCTGCTGGGCAGGAGGAATGGCAATGTTCTCTGTCTCCTGGGGCCACATGCTCTTGTGAATTCTTTGTTTCTCCTTTTGGGGCCGACGCATCGTGGACTTTTGAGGACCTTGACTGCAGGAGGTAGAGGAAAGTGTCCACGGTGTAGGAATAGATAAAGGACATGGCTTGTTTTGTTTTTGTTTTTTCCAACAAAATGGGATCAGAAAGCTCAGCTCTGAGAAGTGCCCTTGAGAGAGCAGCTGTCAGGAAGTGAACAGGAACACCCAGGGCAGCCCCTCCTCCATCAGAAGACACTGGCTACCGTTTGCATCTTGTCTGCGGCTTTGGTAGTAGAAACAGGAAAAACAAGAACACCCGTGTTGTTATGATTTTGATCCTGCACTAGGACACTGAGATCTCAGAGGCTTAGAAAGAAGCAGCAGATTCTCCAGAAAATGTTGTGCCAGGGGAATGATTTTTTTACAGATGTCCCTTCTTTGCGAGTTGCCTGCTTGCTACAGAGACCCCATGCCTTTACCATGGTGGCAGGTGCCTGGCATCTCCTCCTCCCTCCTCAATTCCAACCCCCTTTACACATTTTCTTTCTGGGACTGTGGGGCCTTGGGACTTGTCAGCTGAACCACAGTTGAGCCCATCCTGTAGAATTAAACCATGTAGCCAAATCTTTATAATAAATCTTTTTATATATGTGTGTACACACACACGTCTGACAATTCTAATATCTGACTTATAGCTGAGTCTAGTTTGCTCTGTGTCTCCAGATTGTGCTTTTTTTTTTTAAGATTTTATTTTTTTATTCATGAGAGACACAGAGAGAGAGGCAGAGACCTAGGCAGAGGGAGAAGCAGGCTCCCTGTGGGGAGCCCAATGCAGGACTCAATCCCAAGACTCTGGGATCACGACCTGAGATGAAGGCAGACACTCAACCACTGAGCTACCCAGGTGCCCCTCCAGACTGTGCTTCTTGCCTCTTAGCACAGCTTGTGTTGACATGCCAAGCTGGACGTGATCTATCAGAGTTTAGGAACTGAGGTAACTAGGGCTGTAGTGTGATATTTCATGTCCATCTGTCTAGGAGTCGGGCTGTGTTCCTGTTTCCCATGGATGTAAGTGCCAGAGTTTTCAGTTTCCTTCAGTGCTCCTGTTGTCTCGTTTCTCTGTTGTCTGTGGGTTTCCCTAAGAAGCCCTTCTTAAATAGAGTTTGAGCAGTGCTGTTCTTTTGGCTTTAATTCACTGTTTTTATACTGAGGCCCTGTCAATGTGGCGGTAGGAGTGGGAGGGGGAAGCATGATCTTGAAATTAAATGACCCTTTCTGAGTGGGTCTGTGATCATCACAATTTATTTAGCTTTTCCTCCCCACCACGGCTGCTTTGGATGACTCAGGTGATATGGTCACTTTGTACCGTTTTCTCACCACTTCATTCCAGCCTCTCTCTTCTCCCCTCTGCTCCCGCCTTGATGGACTTCCTTTGGTTACTTGAATGCTTCATCCCATCTTTCTTCTCAGGAACTGCTGTGAAGAGTTAGAGCTGAAAGGCTCCTCAGGGAAGGTGCTCTGTTAATCAAAAGATTTTGGGGGATCCCTGGGTGGCGCAGCGGTTTAGCGCCTGCCTTTGGCCCAGGGCGCGATCCTGGAGACCCGGGATTGAATCCCACGTCGGGCTCCCGGTGCATGGAGCCTGCTTCTCCCTCCGCCTGTGTCTCTGCCTCTCTCTCTCTGTGACTATCATAAATAAATAAAATAAAATAAAAATAAATAAAAATAAAAAAATAAAAAACATAAAGTAGACGTAAAATTATCATTATCTCTAAAGGTTGTGATTATATGTCTGAGAAAATCAAGAGAATAAACCAAAGGGCACCTGGGTGGCTCAGCTGGTTAAGCACCCAACTCTTGATTTCAGATCAAGTCATGATCTCAGGGTCCTGGGATTAAGCCCCTCCATCGGGCCCCACACTCAGCAGGGAGTCTGCTTAAGATTTTCTCTCCCTCTCCCTTTGCCCCCTGCTCATACACACACTCTCTCTCTCAAATAAATAAATAAATCTTAAAAACATGAATAAACCAATTGATACGTGAGAGCTAGGTTCTTGTCTCACAGAGTCGAAGAATGAATCGCGCAGACAACGGACAGTGAGTAAAGCCATAGAAGTTTATTAAGCAAAGATACAGAGGAAGCTCTCACAGGTGAAAGGGCTCCCAACAGGGTTGCCAGTGAGGGCTTTTAGTGGCAATCTGTTATTGAGAACCTAGCCAGGGAGCCCATGGCCTGGGGATTCTTGTACAGTCTTGGTGTGAGCAGGGACTATTGATAATACCTTAATGACATATTTCTTTGTGGTTTGGTGAGTTTCTGTGATTACTTAGTAGCCACTAAAGGGGGATACTCCCTAACATTTTGGAGCTAGGGAGCCAGGTTTCTTTCTTTCTTCTTTCTTTCTTCATGAGAGGCACAAAGAGAGAGGCAGAGGCAAAGGGAGAAGCATGCTCCACGCAGGAAGCCCCATGTGGGACTCCATCCTGGGACTCCAGGATCACGCCCTGAGCCAAAGGCAGATGCTCAACTGCTGAGCCACCTAGGCGTCCCTCTCTCTCTCTCTCTCTCTCTCTCTCTCTCTCTGTGTGTGTGTGTGTGTGTTTTACTGTCTTTTCTCTGTTTCCTTGGGATGGGTAGGAGCCTGACTTTGGGTCTTTTGGTGTCCTTGGGGTTTATGGGAGCCCACAGATCTATGGGAGCCTGACTTTGGGCCATTCCTTTATCTTTCCCTGCCTAGTGCCATCTGTCCCTGACTCATTCCTACGTCACAATAAGCTCCTATTAAGAGCAGTAAATAAATTAATGAGTGCAAAATTAAATAAAAACCATACAAATTGACTAACATAAAAACAATAGCCAACTAGATATAACTTGTGATTTTAAAAATAACAACAAAAAGTAAAATGCCTAAGAATAGACTTGAAAATCGTGTAAACATTCTATATAAAGGAAACTTCTGAGGTTATGGAAATAGAACTCAGAAGTTGGTAGAACCCCTTTGGAAAAGTCTGCAGTACCCAGGAATAGTGTGCAGGCATGCACACTCAACCAACTGAGCCACTCAGGCGCCCCTTATTTTGAAAATTCTTAAATGAGAGTTCCTCCAAAAATAAATTTTCAAAAACTAGACTAGAGGTGTTCTAAATAGGATAATTTCAGTAGAAAAGAATCTAGAGCTCTTAGTGGAGCTCAAAATCAATATGAACCAATGGTGCAAAAAAAGCAATCACCAAAGAGAAGCCCCTTTAACTGAGGTTTTATTAACAGACATCCAGGGTCTCTGAGTTGAGCTGGGCAGCAGGTACAAGCATGTGGCCAATTCCAGGGACTAGACTTGGGGGTGGGGTGGAGGGTGGAATTGTCAATGTGGAGCGTTCAGAGCAAAGACTATGAAAGAATTGTGCAAAATGATTATAGGGAAAAGGATGAAGGAATCGAATAAAAATTTCAAGAGAACATGCTTGGCAATTACACAGATGGGATGAAATTTACTGTCTGTTGACCTGTAATGCTGAGAAGAGACAAATGGGCACGTATTTCCGGATTTCTTCACCACAGAGGAAAATCTAACTAAGGTGTCCAAAAATGGAAAAGGGATCCAAACTAGAGTTGGAACAGAGAGCTTGGACTGCCCTGTGGGTTCAATCATGAGCAGGGAGAGGAAGAGGTGGGCGCTTCTGTAGAAGAGCAAGGGGAACCACTGCTGGGGCACGTGGCTGGCTCAGGAGCTGCCGATTCTGGCTTCAGTCCAACGGCACGTCTATGTGGGACTTGAGAGCCAACTTTTTAAACTCTCCCCCCCTCCACCCTCTAAAGCATCTCCTCTAGGAATCTGCCGCACAGAGACGTGGTTGTAGGGCAGAGGGCAGGGGGCCAGGGTCCAAGCACAGTCCCTCAGGCCCGGGGAGGGAGTGCCTGAAGTCAGGTGGGTGGGTGCCAGGCTGGGTGAGAGGTGGATGTCCCCCACCCCAGTCTTCGAGGGGAGGTGGGCGGGCATCCCTCTGGCCACCCGGACATGGAAAGTTGAATAGTGAGGGCTTAGGTGGGGAAAACTGTACAGGGAACAATTGGGGAAATTGGCTTTTCTGGTCTTCCAACAGTATTTGCCAGTTTTGGTCCCATTTTCACGTTTGCCCCTTTTTGCGTTGTGTCATTACATGAAGATCAAATGGGACGTGGAAAGGGCAATGGCAAACCGTTCAGCAAGGACATGAAAAGAAACAGTCACACACCAAAGGCACCGTCATTTCCTGGGCCTCCTGTAAGCACTCCTTTCCCAGAAGCCTGACTCACAGAGCCCAACCCAAACTCTTACCATCATCCAGTGGTGGAGGGTCCCCATGTGCTAGATGCGGCCCCCCTGTGCAGCATGCTTGCCCACAGCTCAGGTGTCACTCACGCAAGCCCACACCTTGCACTTGAGCTGGAAGGCAGAGGAAGGGCAGAAACACTTGTGCTCACTAAAGTGGTCTCTTGTTTGCTCACTAGAGAGTCAGAACGGCTCATTGTTGCACCTGTTGTGCCCAAGGCCCTAGCATGGGTGTGAGATTGAGGGAAAAATGCACCTGCTTCACCCTCGCCAGGCCAGCGTGGGGGTTCAGGGCAATCTCTCTTCGTCCCTCCCTGGCCCCTCTAAACCCTCCAAGTGCCAATGGCCCAACATCCCAGCTCTGTCCTGTGAGGTGATCATGGCATTCTGTGACAGGGAAGGCCAGAGATGGAGGAGGTGAGGTACGAAATGAAAATGTGTTGCTGCACATCTAGACAAGTGACAAACGCTATCGTTCTTATCATTCGAGACGTTTCTGGGAAATAGGCTGACATCGAGTATATACCACAGACTTCCTGGAGATGCACAAGAACAAGAACCCCATCATCTCATTGAAGTAGAACATGGAGACAAGCTTGGCAATTCCCTCAGCAAAAACTAGGCAAAAACAAGTAGTCTCACAAACAAAGCTTAACTTGGCTTATTTTCCAAGATGCTGGACATGGGTCATTTCTTGCTTCTGCCTCTGGGAATCACAAGGAAAATTTAAGCTGTTCCCAATTCCCTATTATTTAAGGCTGTGCACACCCTTTCTCCATTTTCCCCCTAATTATATTTATTTGATTTTTAAATTCTATGTTATTATTATTTTTAAATTTTTAATTTAAGTTCAATTAATTAACATACAATGTATTATTGGGTTCAGAAGTAGAAGTCAGTGATTCATCAGCCTTATA